TGGGGATGGGGATGGGGATGGGGATGGGGATGGGGATGGGGATGGGGATGGGGATGGGGATGGGGATGGGGATGGGGATGGGGATGGGGATGGGGATGGGGATGGGGATGGGGATGGGGATGGGGATGGGGATGGGGATGGGGATGGGGATGGGGATGGGGATGGGGATGGGGATGGGGATGGGGATGGGGCGTCTACCTGCCAGCAACTGTGCGACGCCCCCAACGATCATGTCGATACCAGCCTGGTCAATGGAGAATCATTTCGGTGAGACTGGGATACGGAGACACACCTTGTTCATGAATGTTGAGTCCGCAAGCAGGCGATCCCGAATGGGAGCCAAGGCGAGGAGAGGACGAATCTGTTGACAGCCGTCAGGACGAGAGACGACAGAGGGAGTCGGCAGGTGGTGTTGGTCACGATGATGATGGTGATGGAAACGGAGGAGGAGGAGAAGGATGAGTGAGAAAAGGAGGAGGAGATGGTAGTGGTGGTAGGGGAGGAGATGGTGGCGGAAAAGGGGGGTTGCGGTCATGGAGGAGGGGGTAGAGGAGATAGAGATGATGGAGGAGGAGAAGGTGGTGGTAGGGTAGGAAGAGGCGGTGTAATCTTACCAAGTTGTTCTCACTCAACTTGAAGAATTCGACCAGTGCCTGCACTCCGACTTTCCCGTCCTGCAAAGCTGGTGATCGGGAGGGCGAGACTCTGAAAGCCAGGGACCTGAACAGCCTTCAACAGCTCCTGCGGCACTTCGCCCTGGCTCTTGCCGTACTTAAATGGTCACGATTCAGCTATGAAACATGGAGATGGAGTGAGTGCAACCTTTGACAGGACCTGGTTCCACGACAGGACGTTGTCATCACTGTCGTCCTTCGACCCGTCCCCTCCTCCTCCTCCTCCTCCTCCTCCTCCTCCTCCTCCTCCTCCTCCTCCATTAACTCCGTCTGCCATGGCGTAACGCCAGGGACGAGTGAAAGCACCACAACTCACCTCCTCCGACTGCAGAGAGGCTCAAGACGGCCGGCTGTCGTGCTGTCACGTGCGACGGGTCAGAGTAGGCGAGCAACGGAGGGCAACGGGACCTCTGGTAGCCAAGTTGAAAGGAGATGCAGGAGAACACGAGCTAGTCCAGCAGAAGCCCAGCTGACTCGCAGAAGGGGTCAGCCCTGTTGCTCCCTCCAGCTGCAAGGGATCGCCTCACCTGTCTGTGGGCTTGCGGGATGCTGGGGGAGAAGCCAGAAGTTGTTCCGAGGGAGCATGCGAACAAGCAGACAAACAGTGCTGCCGACAGAGCTGTCGCTGCGAGCTGGCTCAGAGCTGATCGCCGTGACGACGATGTTGCGTTGCCGGAGGTGGAGGGGGGGGAAGGGGAGAGTGTGAAAGGGTCGCAGGCATGCAGGAAGATAACGAGCATGCCAGGGCACAAGGAGCGCAAGCAGGATGAGTAAAAGCACCATGGGGTATTTGAAAGTCATGAAGCGCATGAGAATTCAGGAGGGGATCTGAAGATTGACAGTTGCAGTCTGCACCTTTCCCTTCCTCCGTTCTTCCCTTCCTCCTGCCCTCCTTCCTTTTCTCACCCTCCTCGTCCTCTTCCTCGTCCTCCTTTAACTTCTTCTATCTGTATCCCCCTTACTCCTCGTCCTCGTCCTCCTCTAACTTCTTCTATCTGTATCCCCCTTACTCCTCGTCCTCGTCCTCCTCTAACTTCTTCTATCTGTATCACCCTTACTCCTCGTCCTCGTCCTCCTCCCCTTCCTCCTCTCTCTCCCTTCCTCCCCTCCTCCCTCCTTACCTCCGCCCCTTGGCACTTTCCTCGCCATATTCCTCAGATGCGGCTTTCCTAATCCGACCACCCCCTACCCTACCTACCCTTTTACTTGATAGTACCCCTCAAAAAGATATCACATGCACCGGTGGAAAGCACCTGATCCCCGGATTTCATCAAACAACCCCTTCCGGTATGTTCTAGCAAGCAGAAATGCGAAAACCTACGTCAGGAGCAGGAGCAGGAGCAGGAGCAGGAGCAGGAGCAGGAGCAGAAGCAGGAGCAGGAGCAGGAGCAGGAGCAGGAGCAGGAGCAGGAAGGCTAGACCGCACACGGAGGATACGGGCGAAGACAGCGTAAGGGAAGACAGAAGCCATGACCACAAAGGAAGCGTTCTTCTCGCTCCTATTCCTCTGCGTCGTCGGGTGTTGGTGCCATCCTATCGTATCAATCCTCTCGCCACAGGACCAGGACCTGCTGGTTGAGAGCAACGACATCGAGCTTGTCATCGAAGTCGATCGGGACGGCCACACTCACCCGCTCCCTCCCCTAACCATCAACATCTCCTTGTTCTACCAAGGGCAACATGTCGGCGACCAGGTGCTCGAGGGAACGGTAGGTGACGGGGCGATGATGGAAAAAAAGATCCCCCTTACTGGCCTGATCAATGGAGACTACGTTGTGACAGCAAAGTTCAAGGGGGAGTCATGGTACGGCTGCTCAGTCACCTTCACAGTCGACGTTGCTGTATCCTTGGTCCGGGTCAAAGAGCACTTGGAAGAGGAGGAAGAGGCTTGCGACGAGGGTGTCTGCAGGAAGGAGGGGGGAGAGAAAGAGGAGCAGGGACAGGAGGGGCGGGAGGAGGAGGAGGAGAAGTTCAGCGAGGAGGATAAGCAGGCAGCTCGTCTGTGTTCGTCACATGGTTGGGAGCCCCGGACGCGACCTGCTCGCATCTACGACACATTCACCTTCAACGACGAGGAGGATATCCTCAAAGTTCGGCTGCACGAGCTCAATGAGGTGAGTGTTACTGATGGCGCTCCTCCCCTTCTTCTTGCTTGTCCTGCTCGTTCTCCTCCTGCTCCCGCTCCCGCTCCTCTCCTCTCGAACACTCATGTCACATGCTCCTTCATGAATCCATCTTCGATCTTCAATCCTATGCGTCCATCTCCCTCTTGCAGTGAGCCTCTCTTCCTTCCCTCGTCCTCGTCCTCGTCCTCGTCCTCGTCCTCGTCCTCGTCCTCGTCCTCGTCCTCGTCCTCGTCCTCGTCCACGTCCTCGTCCTCGTCCTCGTCCTCGTCCTCGTCCTCGTCCTCGTCCTCGTCCTCGTCCTCGTCCTCGTCCTCGTCCTCGTCCTCGTCCTCGTCCTCATCTGAGGTGTACACTGCAGCTGGTCTACAAGTTTGTGATAGTGGAGGCGGACATCACCTTCCAGTACAAGTCGAAACCTCTTCACCTTGACTCATCTCGCGTCCTGCAAGCCTACGGGGACAAGGTGGAGAGGGTCCTGCTGAACAAGAGCAGGATCAGGAGGGGAGGGGACGACGTCTGGGCGGTGGAGGTGGCGCAGAGGAATGAAATTGTGAGGAATTTCTTGCTGGGAGGCTGCTGGTGAGGTGTAGATTATGATTCTTGCGCAGCTAGAAGGACTGAAGGATGCGCGTCCCGACGATCTGATCATCATCGCAGGTGGTGAAGAGAGAAGAGGAGTGGTGGTGGTGATGATGGTGATGGTGGTGGTGGTGGTGCTGGAGGAGGAGATGGTTGGTGGTGGCAAGGCAGCAGGAAAGAAGGAGAAAAGAGGGGTAGTGCCTACAGGAGCGATGCTGACGCCTGTCGGCGAGCAGACGTGGACGAGATACCCAAGAGGGAGTCGCTGCGCCTGCTCCGAGTCTGCCATGGTTACACTGCCCCTGTCTTGATGAAGGTAGGCGCCTCGCAGTGAAGGAGAGGAGGGAGTTGTGATGACGTCAGCAGGGGCACTTCCATCAGTACGGGTTCCACTTGGAGTACAAGGAGGGATGGTCTCTCGGGCCCAAGGTGGGTGGGGATACAGGAGGAGGAGGAGGAGGAGGAGGAGGAAGAGGAGGGGGAGGGGGAGGGGGGGAGGGGCAGCAGGAAGCAAGGAGGTAGACAAGCGAAGAAGGGCGGGAAGGATATAAGAAGGCAAAGGATATGCTGGAGATAACACATCAGAACGATGAATGGAGGGAGGAGGGAGGAGGGAGGAGGGAGGAGGGAGGAGGGAGGAGGGAGGAGGGAGGAGGGAGGAGGGAGGAAGGTTGCAGAAATCCTGAGCGTTTGCATCAGGTTATTCTTCGCGACATGATGTATGGCGCCGTCAACCCTCAGCTAGTTCGCATGACTCACCTTGGCCCGTCGGACTCATCAATCATGGTAAATGACAACGACGAAGTGGGGAAAGCGGGGAGAGGAAGAGGCAGGAGGAGGCGACAAAGTAGAGAGCAGGAGAGAAAGGTGGAGAAAGAGGGAGGGAGGGAGAAAGGGAGGGAAGGAGAGAAGGAGGAAGGATGGGAAAGGAGGAAGCCTGAAGGAAGGATGTGGGAGGAAAGGGCGGGAGAAGAGTTTGTCTGCGGGGAGAGAAGCTTGACAAAGTCTGAGCAGGAGCAAGCAGCATGGCACCTGTCGTGGTTTGTAGACGCACACGACGGAGGGATTGAGCACATTCAGAGCAAGTTTGCGTCTTTCTCGCATGTTGAGTACAACTACGAGAACTTCACCGATACTGAGAGACTCAAGTGCGACGTTTGTTTGAGTTGCAAGGTTGACTCGAGTGACGATGACCGTCGGGCAGGCGCTACATCGAGGATGGCAGAGATTTCTTCTCTGACTATCTCGGGGAGAGGATGGGAGGGCTCATGGCGCATGGGAGGTTGTTCATGTTGCTCCTGGCAGTGTGCTGAAGTCAGTTGTAGCTGTGACATGAGCGTCTTGCCTCGGCTTGTCGTGGAGCAGGTGGGGAGGAACGTCTGTGCTGTTTGCTGACTTGCCGTCAGCCCCAAGAGTTCGCCCCTTGGATTTCCCACTGCGATGTAAAGGATGAGGAGGAGGAGCAGAGATAGAGGAGTAGAGGGAAGGGAGTGGAAGGAGAGGAGAGGAGAAGCCAGGTGGAAGAAGAGAGGAGAGAAGGGAAGAGGAGAGGAGGAAGGAGGAGGAGGGGAGGGGAGGGGAGGTAGGACAAGGTAGGAGGAGGTAGGAGGAGGTAGGAGGAGGTTACATCCTCTAATTGTTTATTATGTACATTTGGTTCACGACGTTGGAGTTCTCTTCATGACTTGCTTCCAATGCTTCATTACAGTCAACGAGGGGCAAGGCGAACTAGAGACAGCAGCCTCTAGTGGCAGGAAAAGGAGCAGCGCGACGAAAGGAAGGAGGAAGGAACAAGAGATGGTGAATAGAAGGGCTGAGGAGATGATGGGGAATGGAGACTGGGAGGAAAAGGGGCAGGGGCAGGAGCAGGAGTAGAAGAAGGAGGAGGAGGGGGAGGAGAAGGGGGAGGAGGGGGAGTACCTGTGCGTCTTTCTTGCTTTTGCAATTTCTTTCCCTTCCGAGTAAAGTCGATGCAACTCCTGAGCAGCCTGAAGGCGATGAAAGAAAGTGTGAGAAGGAGAGGAGAGGAGAGGAGAGGAGAGGAGAGGAGAGGAGAGGAGAGGAGAGGAGAGGAGAGGAGAGGAGAGGAGAGGAGAGGAGAGGAGAGGAGAGGAGAGGTGAGGTGAGGAGAGGGGAGGGGCGGAGAGAGGGGAGGAGTGCAGAGGAGAGCGACTGGTTGAAAGGTTGTGAAAGGTTGAGATACCTCGTAGCTTCCCTTCTTCGCGGCTCTTTTGAACCATCTGATTGCTTCTTTGACGTCCTGCAAACCAAACGAGCACACGAGGCATTAAAGATGATCGAGACCTCGTTCAAATACATCATCATACACCAAGATTGTTCTCAACATGTTCAGGTAAGATGGGATATATTCTAGGACCAGCACACATTGAGGGATTCTTTGGTTTGACATGGTTTGAGCATGTTTGAAGACACGTTGGATCTTGCAGCTATTTTTACCTTCTTCACGTTGAATCCCTCCAGGTACATACACGCCAGCCGGTGCTGAGCGAGCACGTGTTTTGAGAGAGCCGCCTGAAAATAACACGTCAAACTAGCATGGAGTAGCGAGTCGACGAGGAGGAGGAAGAAAAGGCGAAGAAGGGAGAGAAAGAAGAGAAGGAGAACAAAGACGTGGAAGTGAATGTAGTGAAAGAAGAAGTCGTGGTTGCGGTAGAGGAGGGAGGACAACAAGGGTGGAGGGAGGAGAGGGAGGAGAGAGGAGGCAGGGGAGGGAGGAGAGAGGAGGGAGGCAGGGGAGGGAGGAGAGGAGGAGGGGAGGGGGGGGAGGAGGGAGGGAGGGAGGGAGGGAGGGAGGGAGGGAGGGAGGGGAGGGGAGGGGGGGGAGGGAGGGGAGGGAGGAGGGCGAGGAAGGAGGGAGGAGGCGAGGAGGCAGGAGGCAGGC